CAATGAAACAGCACAAAACAGTATGCTCAAGTATCGGATTATCGAATGAGATTCAAAAAGTTAAACCTCATCGCCTAGTTGCTCAACGTCTATCTGAACTCATGTGTGTCTTTTTAAATTCAGACAAAGAAACAATTGAATGGCATGATCAGGACGATGTTGATACCTCTGATCTCAACTGGCCTTCAATAATTATTGAAGAGCATGGAACTCCAATACTTGAAGGTCAAAGTCCAATTTGGGAACAAATTTAGGACATGTTTCTTAAACAGAAACATGTCCTAAATTTGTCAATTATATTTTTTTTTAATATGAACTGTTACAATTAAAAAGACACTTGTGAAAATTCTAAACTTTTATTTTCGTCACGTCACACAGGGGTGAGGGAGTTTTTAAAAATGCCATAAAGTGTCACATAGGGGAGGGGGGGGGGTCTCTAAAAATGCCTAAAAAATGTCACGTATTATTTGAACAGCCCCTAAAGTTTTCCCTATCTTATGCTTTAATAATGTTATGTTTTCTCTATCTTATGCTTATGTTTTCCCTATCTTATGCTTTAATAATTCGTTGTTAAAAACACAGGGAGACTTGCAGTTTGTCAAATATTAAGTTGATTAGTTTAGTCTGCAATTGCAACACCTTTGAGGAAAGAAAAAATTCTTATATATGTAAGTCGTTGTTTTACGCTTTATTATTTTGGTAAAAGGTCTTTATCATAAATAGATTACTCTTAATAAAAAAAACTCTGCTCACATGGCTACCATTGAAACAAAAAAAGGGAGGGGCTCTTAATAAACAGAGATGTCAACATATTGACGAAACCGAAACTTCGAGTAATTAAAGGAATATTTAGTAAATGGCAGCAAATTACTTTACCGTTTACAAAAAATTATTGAAATAAAGAGGCCATATATTCAATATAGATATGGTCGGTGTTTAGAAGGCTTAACATGACCGGGTCCGGTTAGGTTTGTTTGCAAACATGAGATTATGTCACGTTAACAACCTCAAAACTCAATTTAAAACATGTTTAGTAGCAAAATGTGATATATACAAGTATAAATGTGATAGTATAGTAATACTCTTTTATGATTTTTAAGCTAATAAAATGGATTTAAGACTGGATAGATTTTGGTTTCCTGTTAAACCGCAGTAAATAAAAATTAGAGGGCCATTTGGCCCAGACAGAATATGCGACAAGTTTGTATTTAACTCATTTACACAAAAATGGAATTGAGACAAGTAAGCTCCTATAATTATCTATATGTACAGATATGTTTATTGCATATGTTAGTAAATAAACTGATTAGTTGCTTAATGAGTTTAAATTTTAGACATTTTTTAAAGTTGATGATCACAACGTACTAAATTAGACATGCGTGATGTAATTTGCATAGCTAAAGTTAAATGCTCTTTTACTTTAGTTACTGCGCTCAGTGATGGTCAGTTTGGTTTGTGCGCAGTTTTTCTTCTGATCTATTTTGAGATTGTAATTTCCAGACTTATTTTAAAAAGCGCGTTTTCGTTATAAATTTTCTTTACATCTAATCGTACCTATCAAGTAGGTCTTATTCTGCATAATCAATTCAATCGTTTTCATTTTTTATGTTTTAACATGTCTATTACCTTTATTAAATTTGTTTTTAAACATATTTGTTTTTATTTTTTATATCGAATTAATACAATGAATCAGGTTGAAAATGAAGGTTTGTATTTATTTAGATGTGTATTATGTTACAGATGTATAATGTTAAGTTGTTAGTTCTTAAATATATGTTTATTTTTAGTTGCTGAATCACTAAGAAGTAAGTTTTCTTTCATTTTGTCGTAAACAAATGTTATAAATTGCATTTATATGTTTGTTAATTTAAATTAACTTCACAATATTAAAATGGTTTAAACGAACTAAAACGAATTTGTGTAAATGAATTTAATCCTCAAAGATTAAATTTTTTTTATTATTGAAGAAATTAAACTAGATTTAAGAATGAGTCGACTTAAAGTTTGTTTGTTTTTCTATTTTGATAATGACAATATTGAAACAAGTAATTTAAAAAGCATTTTTAAATTTTTAAAAAGAAATAAAAATAATTTTTAATGTTATATCTGTTTTCTTCGAGGTAGATTTAAAATTTTAGGTTTTTAAAGTCATATGTATTATAATATTAAATTCTTTTTTACTTTAAAAATATCTATATTATAGTTACACTGAGTCGTAAAAAAAAAATTAAAGTTTATTAATAAGGTAGTAGATTATTAGAGTAGATTAAATTGTTTGATCTATTAATCAACTTAATAAAGTAGTATTAAAGTGAAGATTTATTTCGGTTGTTTGTTTGTTAAAATTTAGTTAGAGTGTATTTAAATTTAAATTCTTTAGTTAATTTAAAAAGTTAATCCCTTTATTAGATCCCTAAATTTAGAGATCTAATAAAGGTATTAATTACATTAGTTGAATGTAGCATTTAATATGGATTTTATCGATATTTTAACGTCTAAACATTAAAGTGCTTTTATTGTTTAGAAGAAGGAATTAAGTCAGTGTTTTTGCTATTAGATATTTGTTAATAGGAATTAGTTTATTTGTACTGTTACTGGAATTTTAAAAAATCAAGTTCTTTAGCTTTATTTTATAGTTTCTTTTAGGGGAATTGAAACAAAAACTAAGTATAAATTACGATTAGTTTAGTTTAATAAATAAAGCATTAGTATTTAGAACATTTAAAGTTTACTTTAGTGTTTAGTTTTGGTTTAGTTTATAGTTTTGTTTTTAGCTTTAGTTATTTTTTTCTTACTTTAGACAACTTTATGGATGAAATGAGGGGATGGGTAAAACAATTATTTAGATATGTATATATTTATATGTTAACATTATTTTATCGAATATTTTATATTTATTTAAGTAGAAATTTGTCTTGAGTGTCTGGTGGAAGTATAGCTGGTAGGGCTGTGTTTTATATTTTATATGTTTTGTATGGAGAGATATGAGCAATAGGTGGAAAAATTAATTAATAAATATGACACTTTTGAACTAGTTGCATTATTGCCTTATATATTTATTAAAATACAAAATGTTGCATGTTTAACCCTTATTAACTTGCTATCTTTTTTTTTTTTTTTTTTAGCATCTTATGTTTCGGATGAAAATGGTGAGGTTATGCTAATTTTTTTTTTTTTAATAATTGCAAATGAATAATTTTATTATATTCTTTTAATTGTAACTTTAGATTCCTTATCATTCGAAGATTATAAAAATTACTGCTCCCAACACCCGGGACCTCAGAGAAGTCCTTCAATAAATGGAAACATAATGGCGGAATGGATGAGACCTCCTTTAAATGGAGGGCTCATCCATACCGGGGTGTTGGGAGACACCGAAGAAAAAATAGCGACCAAAAGGTTGTAAATGTCTTCTATCAGTAGAGATATTTATGACTTTTTAATTGCTGCTTTTTTTTTTTTTTTTTTAATTTTGTAATTTTTTTTCATATATATAATACGTTGTATATTTGATTTGTTTTGATCTTTTATAATGAAAATTTTAATTGTTTTTTCACCAATTAAACCTGCCTTCAAATTTAAAGCCCTCTTAAATACCCCTCCCTAAAATCTAAAAAGTTATAAAAGTTATAAAAGTTATAAAAGTTGAATTGATTCATTATCCAATTATCATAATATAATGATGCTGCATTCTTTTGTTAAAAACAATTATTTGGTATGTTTCATTTATTGAACTCACTGCTTTTAAAATTTACCATAACCCAAGGCAATATATTAAGCCATATAAATACAATTTATTTATCTTGATTCCATTCTTCATCTTTTATGTTTATAGTTTGGCTACTTGAAGCATTTTATGTTTTTTTTTTTTTATTAGGAGTATTCTAAACCCGTTGTGATGTCTTTTAAATTAAACAAAAGTTTACTAAAAGCCAACATAAAAAATACGTTTTTGAACAACACCATTAAGAACAGCTGCATCCCTACAGCAACTGCTGCAGTATCACAATAGGTTACCAAAAGCAGGTATACTGTTTTCCAGTTGTTGTTTTTTTCATATATATATATCTACTTATCTATATAATACTATAGAACCATTGTTTATATCTTATTTATTTATTTTTTCTTCATCTTTAAGTGTTAATAATTTTAATCTTTGAATGAGATTAGTTAAACAAGTAGACTTTCCAATTCAAGATATTGGTTTCAAAATTGAACACCATTAGCAAAATGCTAACAAAATTAGGTAGTTTTTAAAAATCTGTTTTCTATTTTAATACACTTTTTTTTAAATATACTTTTTTAATATACTTTTCTATAACAATTCTACTAATATGAAATCACGTAGCTTTTTAAATATGATTAATTGTCGTCCCTATCGGTAATAAATATTTTAAATTATTTTATATGGTTTTCTTTACAATAGGCTATGCTTGGCTCCTTGGTGCTGTAAATGGTGGCTTTAACTTTGATTTTTAAGAAAAATTTGTTTTATATATGCTTCTGTTTTAAAATATTTTTGTTACATATTTAACTATATATCATGTAAATAAATTTCTTTTAAAGATATGTAAACTTAATACTTGCTTTTTTACGGATTTCCAAAAAGTGAACAAAGGTTTAAATATATTTTTTAACTGTCTTATATGATTTTATCAATTTTATTATAGCTGAATAATTACTTCAAAAATATTGAGTAAAATCCAATTGCTTTTATTATTAACCTGATTTATACAAAAATTAATGAAATAAAACTAATAAGTTAACGCTAAGTTAAGGCAAATGTATTCTGGACGGTTAAATATTTTTTGGATGATCCAAAAGTAGGTTTGCAATTTTGAAGAAAACACAGACCTAGAATGTTTTTGCTTCACGCTATTGCGCATGCAAAATTTTTATATACCTACTTTTGGATCATCCAAACTAACAGTTGATAAACGCGTTGATAGTGCTCGTCACTGCTTGATTCGCTTATTTATTTTTTACATATTTTTGAACTGTTTGAATATATTCATAAACTGATAATAAAATGAATGAAGATAGTTCTTCCATCGATTTTGAACATGTGTTGAGTAAGATTTATATATACTCCTTACATTTACTATTTAATTATATAGTATATAATATATTAATATAAAATATAGTATATAATATACTACTATATAATTAAAAATACTTTAACTCTCCTTTAACTCTTTAATTTAGTAATTTAATCTTTATTTTTGAAGTTTTTAAATTTTGTGTCTAAGAACAAGTTTAATGATAATCAGCTTGTTGATTATCATTAAATATCATTAAACTTGTTCTTAGACAAAAAATTTACCCAACGACCATGTCCAACAACAATGTTGTTGGGCATAAAAGTGTAAAATGTTGCAATATCTATTTGTAGCTTTTATGGTTATTTGTGATTTTTTTTTTATGTGCCATACTAATAGATCAAGACCCAAACATGTTGGTCAAAGTGTCAAGTCCTACTGCAGGGAGTGAAGTGCAGCAAAGTTTTTCAACATTAACAGATGTTTATGCCAAAATTAAAGAACATGAAATGTTACATACTGTGCATTATGTTATAGCATTTAAACCAACTATGGAACATAATATTGATGGTTTGCATCACTTATATACATATTTCTTATATATATATATATATGTATGTATGTGTGTATGTATGTATGTGTGTATGTATTAAAACATTTTTTAACATTTTTAAATATCTTATTTTTAATTAAATTAAAAATTAATTTTAATTAAAATAAAAATTAAATAAATCACCAAAATTTTAAACAGAAAAATATTTAATTTTTATTTATCTTTAGATATAATGAAGAAAAACCACAAGATCTATTTTGAGAGTAAAGATCTTCCATTTACTGGAGTCCCATTCATTTTTTCATCATGTAGTACTTTTTCATCATGTACTGTTTCATCATGTAGTATTGTCAACAAGGAAAAGACAAAGGTCTGATAACAAAAGCACAGTATTTAAAAAAGAAAAATGAGAATGCAGTAAGTCACACAATGATGCACAATGTTTTAGATGTTGTTGTTTTTTTTTGGAAAAAAAACTCAGGGGTCTGGTTTGTTGTTTTATTTGGGAAATTCATTATTTAAGCTACTTAATTTAACTTTAATGGTAATATCTTATTCTATATTGTATATTTAATTATATATTCGTACTGCAATTCAATTATATATTCATATTTTAATATCAGATTTAAATATTAATATCAATTAATACTGAAATTTACTGAATTTTTATATATTTTAGTATGCTTAAAGGTTAACACAGTTGGAGCAGTCCTGTATAATAATTTCTTAAATAATTTTATCTTACTCAATTTTATCTTAATTAGTTTTAGTAGTATATATTGACACAATAAACATTGTTTATTTGCATTTAATAGATTTAATTATATTTAATATTTGATATATATTTTATACTTATTGTTGTTGTTCTTGTCTTGTTTAAGATAGCAATTTCATGCTAATTTCTTCTTAACATTATTTGAAAATTACACCTATTTATTCACTAATCATGACACTATATCCTTGACAAGTTTACCCTTAATCTGTTCATTTATTTTTGATAAATTTTATCTCACTTGATTTGAAACTTTTATTTCTTATATTTTTTGTTTCTTCAGGTATTTAATTATATAGCTTGAGTTCATTACAGAAAATTAGTTTCTGCCCACTTATATTGTTTTTCACTTCCATATGAAAATTATTTGCATTCCTGGTATTGTATTTATGTAAGTCACTGTTCTTTCTGAACATATTCACATATATTTTATTATTTGGATTAGTTACTACCTCATGAACAAAATTCAAGACCTTAAATATGATTTCTGCTTGACTGATAAACATCCAATTTTCTCCAACATTTCTTTACTATGTGAATACCAATCACATTTTAAAATAAGTCTCATAGCTTTGTTCAGCAACTTTTGAAGTATTTTAATATCACCTTCATTTGCACTTAAAAAGTTTGCCTAGAAGAGAAAGTTCAATAGTAAATGATAGGACTTAGTGATAGATTAGCTGATTATTAACATAGGAATTTTGATAAGAATTGCAAAAATTGTTTGCTGTGAATAATTGAGTTTTGTAGGAGTTAAAGTTTACAAGCAACTATGAGCCTCAATCTGTTATAGAAATGAAATCAGATTTAAAATTAACTGCCTGTTCTATGCAATCAAAAAGAAAAGACTTTTTGCCAAGATAAGAATATAAAATGAGTTATCAGCAAAAAGAGCTATTTCAGACATGAAATTGTCTGCAAGATCATTAATGTAAATACAAAACAAAACAGGACCAAGGATAGAACCTTAATGTGTCCCATAAGTTACTAGAAATGAAAAATAGTGCTGTTCATTAAGGACAACTTTTACACTATGGTTGATAAGGAAGAATGCAATAATCTTAAAGATGTTACTTGATACACCGTAAGAAGAAAGGTTAAGAAAAAGACCAGCATGCCAAACTTTATCAAAAGCTTTAAAATGTCAAGAGCCTTAGCCTCTCCACATCTATCTAACCCACAATAAAACTAATCAGTAATTACCGTTAACAAATCAGCAATAGAACGAGAAGATGGAAATCCATATTTATGATCAGAAAGAAAGTTATTAGATTCAAGATAAGAAATGAAATGTTTGTTAGTTAAAGGCTCAAAAACTTTGCTTAGGATAGGAAGAAGACTAAAAGACGGTAGTTAGACGAGTCAGATCGCTCTCCAGAATTTTTAAAAATAAGGATAGCAGATGCTGCTTTCCAGCAGGATGGAAAGCAAAACTCTGATAATCACTTGTTAAATTGTTTTGAAAGTATAGACGACAGCTCTGGACACGTAGCGGAAATATTGCTAAATATTTCCGCTACGTACGAAAAAAGCTACATTTGCTGTATAAAAAAAGTTCATAATTTTGCCAACCGAATTTGGCGGTGCCCAAATTGGGGCATGTATATAATATACAGGGGCTTATCTTGACCCACTGGTCAAGATTAGCCCCTGTATATTATATACAACCTTCAGAATTAGAAAAAATGAGGTCATAAATTATTGAAAAACATAGAAACATGGTCAGCAATTTTTTGCTTACCTCAAACACTTTCAGGTCGACATTGCCAAATGTTGACCCTAATTTTGAGGGTTGTATATATATATATATATATATATATATATATATATATATATACACACACACACAAACACACACATGTATATATATATATAATATATATATATATATATATATATATATACATATACATATAAACATATTATCAGATATATTCTGGTAATATACTGTATTAAATATTATATTGTATTAAATATACATATATACAACCTTCTGAATTAGAAAAAATGAGGTCATAAATTATTGAAAAACATAGAAACATGGTCAGCAATTTTTTGCTTACCTCAAACACTTTCAGGTCGACATTGCCAAATGTTGACCCTAATTTTGAGGGTTGTATATATATATATATATATATATATATATATATATATATATATATATATATATATATATATATACACACACACACAAACACACACACACACACATATATATATATATATATATACATATATATATATATATATATATATATATATATATATATATATATATATATATATATATATATATATATAAACATATAAACATATTATCAGATACATTCTGGTAATATACTGTATTAAATATTTTTTCCAATTCATAATAAAAATCATTCTGTTAAAAGTTTGTCATATAATTTGATATATTTCATATGAGGTTTTTTTGTATATAATTGTTATATAACTATTACTTATTTTTAATGATTAGGGTACAGATCATTCTTTCAAAAAAAAGAAAGTTATTTTGCAAAATACAAAGAAGTTTGATTGCCCTGCAAAAGTATTTATAAAAGAAGAAGGAGTTTCCTGAGTTTAAGGTATTCTATAAAATATGCATCGGGACATAAAAAAATTATTAGTTTTAAAAGAGTTTCATTTTGCTTCTGCTACTTGGTGCTTTTTTTTTTTTTTTTGACAATTTGGTTTTTTTAAACAAATACAAACTAAAAATTAAAATTAAAATACTATAAACTGGAAAGAAAAATAAAAAAAACTAAAGGAGAAAAATGCAAAACTAACTAAAAATAAACAAAATGCCTTAATGAGTTTTAAAATGAATACAAAAAAAAACAAAAAAAAATTAATAAGTTTTTTTGTTTTAATTTAAAAGTGTTACACAACAAAGAATTAAAAAAAAATTGATGTTTCAAAGTTATTTGATCCTAGCTTAATTAATATAAACTTAGTTATTTAAAAATCGAAAATTTTGAGATTATTTAATGACCTACAAACAAATAATTTTTTTATGTTTCATTTGCTTTATAAGCAAATAAAACATAAAAAAAATATTTGTTTGTAGGTTTGTAACCAATGCCAATATAACATTATATATATATGTATATATATATATATATATACATATATATATAATATTTTAATAGTCAGTGTGAAAAAGCGTGGCCAAGTTGTCAAAAAAAAAATTGTATGTTTGGTCAAATAAGGTGTATGATGGGATGCGTCTCATGAGAAGTCTTGATATATATATATATATATATATATATATATATATATATATATATATATATATATATATATATATATATATATATATATATATATATATATATATATATATTACTTATAGTTTAAGCAGTTTTTAAATTACTTGGTTCTCTTTGTTCTAGCTGGACAAGGATTCAATATGGTTAAGAAAAGAAATGTCAAAAAAACTTCGCTCAGCTTTGGCTACCAACCGAAACATTTCAATGTGTAGAAAATATATTTTATTATTACCTGACATTTCTTCTCATAAAGACCATGCAATTGGAGATGTAAGTATTACCATTACATTAATGTTAAATTGTCTATGGTTTTTATTTATCAAAATATTTGTTTTTAGGAAGCAGGTCTTAATCAACCTTTATCTAAGGATATTATCAAAAAAATTGATGAGCTAGTCAGAAAGGGTGTTAATTCTGTTACAGAAATGAGATGTCTTCTGGATGCTTATGTGCATATGGAATTTAATTCACTTAACTTACCACAGAAAGCAAATAAACGTTTTTTCCCACGAAATGAGACTATTGCAAACCATATGCAGAAAGCTAGAAATAATCTTCGCAGATCCATGATAGATCAAGAATGTCTGCGTGATAAGATTAATGAATGGAAAATATATTGTCCAGATGCAAAAATACATTTTAGACCAAAAGGAAAAATCTATTCAGACAATGATTTAAATCTTGAAAATTCATTACTGTTTGTTTATCAAGATGTATGGCAACAAAAATTGCTCTATAGATATGGAAATGAACTGGCTTTTTTAGACGCAACATATCGCACAACGAGATATGCCCTTCCGCTATTTTTTTTAGTTGTCAAAACAAACATTGATTACCAAGTTGTTGCAATTTTTGTTTGTGAAAATGAAACCACAGAAGCTATAACAAAAGCACACAAGCTATAACAAAAGCTATAACAAAAGCATTAAAGAATGGAATCCATTATTTCAACCGAGGTTTTTTATGACAGATTATTCAAACGAGGAAATAAATGCACTCGAATATGTGTTTCCAGGTAAGAATTTCTGTAGTTATGAATTTTTTCTGTTCATAATTATAAGGAAAGTATCTTTAAATAATGAAAAAATCACAATATTAATAAAAAAAAAAATTTGTTTCAAATATAGCACATTTAATCTAATTCCTTTAAAACTTGCTGGTTCTTTTTCATCTTCTTTTGTACTTTTATGACATTTGTTACATTTTTTTAAATTGTTTTATTATTCATTTATAGGCTCTCTACTTTTTTTATATTTTTTTTATAATATATTCATTTTAATATATTTTAACTGAGAATTTTTATAAATAAAAACGATTAAAAAAATAGTTTTTTGTTGTTAAATGTTTGCTTTAGAGCGAGAAGTTTTAAATTTGATCCCCACCATGTATTTGTTTGTAACTTCATGTAGATCTGTTAAAACCACAAAAGTGTGGGCGTTAAACCTAAATTGTAAATAATTATATCATTAATTAATAATTTTCTCTATGTTGTATTTTTTACATAAACAAAAAGTCTCTAGGACCTAATTATATACAAAAATAGCATTTGACTAACAAATTACACTAAATAACGTAACTAACAAAAGTGTAATAAACTTAATTATAAACTGTTATAACAATTCATAATTAAAATTCTTTTACTTAGGTTGTAAAGTATTTATCTGTGATTTTCACAGAGAGCAAGCTTGGGAAAGATGGCTGTCAAAAACCATAAATGGATGCTGCCTTGTGAAAGATCAAGTTAAAAAAATGCTTCGTGATATTGCACATGCAAAAACAGAAGATATTTGTCAAAAGGCAGTTCAAGGGCTCCAGGAATCACAAGTATGGAAAATACACCAAAAACTCGCTGAGTATTTAACAAACACTTGGTTACCTATCCAAAAGGTAAGTGAAGTTGTATATAGAATAAGTTGTATATATCATTATCGCAACAATCTAGATCTGTTCATATGTTTGTGAACAGTAATGTACTCATTGAGTCATCAATCTTTTGTTTTATATTAACTCTTAGATTAACTCATAGTTCTGATCTTGTTTGCATGTTTGTTTAAAAAAAAAAGATGTGATTAAATTTGATTTTTTAATACACTTTTTTATAAACTAATTTTTTAAGTAAAAATGGAAAAGTATAAATTTTTATCCCAAAATTCCAAAATTACCCTATTAATACCTTCTCTGATTATATTGAAATTTGGTCCATGGAGTTCTCTTATGCTCCTACTTAATGTTATAAGATTTAATGTTATAAGTTGCAAAGTTAAAGCTTTTTGTACTATTTATGTTATTTATTTATACAAAATTTTTGATGATTATGTGTTTTATACCAACTGGCCAAAAAAGACATTTATACCACCTGACAAATATATATTAAAAATTTTATCACAATGTTTCATACTAACTGACCAACAGTTTACTTTTTTATTTTATGTTTTAGAGATGGGTGTTTGCTTACAGACAGGATCGTCTCCTGCTGAATGTTAACACTAACAATGGAACCGAGAGGCAGCATCAATCTTTTAAATATAGTTTCTTAGAAAAACGAAAGAATTCTTCAATAACAGCTATGCTTAGTATTTGTATTGAAGAATTTCTTCCTCACAAATTTTACAATTAATAATAAATTGTTAACTTGTCTTTGTTATATCAACATAATAATTGTGATAATTTATTTAGCTATTGTGATAAAAATAAAAAGGCACATTCATCATATAGAAAATACAATGCAAAAATTCCGCCATATTTGATTGATCGTCCACGACCTTTGGTAAAACATTGCATGCATTTAATTGATACATTAAAAGGCCTTGACTTACAAGGCATTAATGCTGTAACTGACAAGATATACAACGTTGCTTCATTTGATTCAAATAGTCGAGAAATCTATAAATGCTATCTTGATGATGATAAACATTTGCCGAGTTGTTCTTGCCCTGCCTGGTTTAGTAGTCCATACCCATGCAAGCATTTTTTTGCTATTTTTATAAAAGAAAATCTCTCCTGATCTGCATTTGGTAGCTTATACAGAAATTCACCATATTTTAGCCTAGATTTATTGACAGATGAAAATAGCCATGCAACCTCTGTAGTATGTCAAAATTTTTTTCATCCTAACAATGTTGGTATACAAAATAATGCTGTCGGACATGAAACACAATTGTCTCTACCTCTTGAACCTCAACCGTTTCCAAATGTACAAGGAATGAATTTTAAAAGTACGATTGCACCAAATAAAATTCAAAGTAGTCACTCTATAATAACATGTCGTGAGCTATTAAGCGAAATCACTCAGATGTCTTATCTATGCAACTCTCAAAAAATGTGGATCTGTTGTTTGAAGGGCTTTATAAATTGAAAACTGACTTAGTTAAAAGCATGACAAGTGAAAATGGAATTCTTTTGCGTCCAGATAATAAACCAGATACTTGGAGCAAGACTGAAATTAATTCAACTAGACTTTGTCATCTCCCAATTAGACGAAAAAGGAAGATGACTAAACGAGTTGGTGTCAAGTATGATGTTTACAAAGCAGCCTTAGATATAAGTGTAGTAACAAAAAAAGTTTCTTTACTTTCTGAGATAATCACAAATCACTCCATAAACGAAAGTTGTGATATTTTTACAGTTCCAATTGATTCAATAAAGACTGATGAAAAATTATCTGATGATAGCAATGAGTTGCTTGAAGGCAACATAAAAGATGATGGTAACCATATTCAAAGGACTGTTCAGAGTGTGCAATATCTGAAATCTTCTTTGATTGGAAATTTAGAAATGAATGAGATAGAAAATGGTGACATGCTTAATGATAAAGTTATTCATTATTGTCAACAAGTCATGTCTATGCAATTGGATATTGATGTTGGTCTGCAGGATCCTATTAAAGGTCAAGTCCTAGCTTTTAACATCCATCCGAACACCCCATTTGTCCAAGTTCTTCATGATGGAAATCTCCACTGGATTTGTGTGACCACATATGGTTGTGCTGCAGGAGAAATATATATTTTTGATAGTCTTTTTCATGGTGCAGTTAGTTTTGACACAAAAAGGCAAATATGCTCTATTTTACAATGTGATAAAAAATATCTTATGATTAAAGTATTGCCTATTCAACAACAAACTAATGGTGTTGATTGTGGACTGTATGCTATTGCTTGGGCTAGACCAATTCTTGAAGTGAAGGGAATACCTTCCACTTCTCTAATGTTTGAAGAAAGTGAAATGAGAAAGCATCTCCTTATGAGTATTCTAAAGAACCGGTTAGATGTCTTCCCTACCACAATCAATCCAGCTATGTTTAAAAAATGTGCAGCAAAGGACTTTCGTATACGCTTGCATTGCTCTTGTCGCATGTTTTGGACCCATAAAGATGAGAACATTTTTAGCAGGTGGCATAAAATTTGTCATTTATAAAGTCATAATTCATTTTTTTTTAATTATGCTAAAATATTTTATTCTTATCATGTTTTGTAGGCAAATGGCTCAATGCTTTACTTGCAAAGAATGGTTTCATCGGCAATGTGAAAGAATTCCACAGAGCGCTTATGAACAAGAAGATGAGCTCTGGTATTGTCAGCATTGCAACAGTATAGCAGACATTAATACTACAAATGAAGTATAATATCTGAAACTGTCATGACATTCTTAACAAAGAAATAATAAAAATTAGGTTTATTCCTTACTTAATATATGACTTTGTTATACTAACCATCAGGTATTGATTTTTAATAATTATTATTAATAAATCTTATTTAGATTTAGGTATAGATTTTTATTTATTCATGATAATAACTTTATCTTATTTAATTCAATAAATCTGTCTTTTCATTATTTAATGTTTATGCAAAATTATCTTGCATGTTTATGCAAAATTATGGGCATAGAAGTTTATACCAATCTGATATTAGCATATATTTTTACAATTTGCATTTTTATATAATGCCATTTTTATTTGGTATGAACACCCTAATTGTGTTGTTTATGTCATTTATTTGAAATAAGATTTTTTATTTTGACATAAACTGCTTATACCTTTTTAATATTGGCATATCAAGATTTATAGCCTTTTGTGGTATAAGCCTTTAGGGTTAACACACACACACACACACACACACACACACACACACACACACACACACACACACACACACACACACACCATAGTGTTATTATTCTGAATTAGATTTTTTTTTTAGGGCGGTGAGCGGAACTTGGCTACTTTCTCGTGGTGCTCACTGTTAGAAATGAGTACAAGAGATAAAAATTAACATTTGATTTTTATCTCTTGAATCATACACAAAATGCCAAGTCGAGAAAGCAATAGTCGATTATAGTCAGTCTGGTTCTACCGATTTATTGACTTTTTTTTATTTACATAGTTTGGTTTAACAAAGTCATTTTAATGTTTTTATGAATTTTGAATAAATATATGCAAGCAAGAAATTTGGAACTTTATGTTTTACTATTTTATTGCTCATTAAAGTCTCACGTGAGAGCGAAAAACTGGAAAGTATTAACAAGTATTGTAACATTTCTGGTTTAGTTGCAAGCATTGCAACTAAACCAGAAATGTTGCAATGTTTGCTGAGTGTTCTCTTAAAATGTTCTTTTAAAATTGTTTTATGAAATTAATATATATGAGTATTTATAAACACGTTAATGAGAATGAAAAAGATGTTTGTAAATAAACAGGCGGATTAGAATTTTTATCAGTGAGTTAAAACGTAGGTCGTTCGAAAATTGCGAAAGGTCGTTCGAAAATATATAGCCAGGTACCCGTTCAACGAACAAGCGGGTGCCTGTGTACCCGCTCGTTCGTTGAAAGGTTCATTAAAAAAAACAATAGTTTTTATAAAAGTTGTACGTTTAAACACTCAATTATATCATATTCAAGTAAATGATATCATATCTGTTGTTATTGCTTTCTAAATTTTATTTAGCTTCAAGTGTCCGGTTACACAAACCCCAATTACGGTTTCAAAATACTTGCGTATCCACTGTTTTGTGAGATGTCATGTAACTATCGTTTTGTAAATGACGCGCGGCGTCTTTTACAAAACATTTACATGCTACAAGTTGATGTACTCTATCTTCATATAACATTTTGTATATCAACTTTTTGCAGAAATTAACAAAAAAATCTTATCAACTTTTACCGTTACCGAAATTTCATACATTTTTAAAAGATTTTAAATATAATTTGCTTAATTAACTTGAATTTCTTTGTAAGAGCTTAAAATAATTATATTTTAAGTATCTGATTTACGTAAAGGAAATCATTGTACATGCATAGCTACATAAGCAGTAACCAACGGGCGATTACTCGTCGACAGGTGTATTCATACGCTTTAATTTAATAAAGGAGGGTTATCTACTACACTGAAAGATGATTATTTTATTTGAGATTTTAATTCTAGAATTTAAAAACCATTTTAAATTCCTAATGTAAGTAGACATAAATATGTTACACATGAAACTTTTTAAATTTGTTTCTTTCCAAATTAAAATTATAAGTATCATACAAAAAAAACTCTATACCCTTGAGCATCAATATCAAGATGTGAACAAGTGAACGGTAGCAACAGTAAAAACATTTTAGCAAGTATAGATAACAGTTGACGTTAGCTAAGCTTCACTTAAGTATAGCTTGGCATATTAAAAATTTTTATTTAAACAAATTTCAGAATAAATTACCTATGCATTAACGACAAAGGTTAAATAAGAAATGTTGTTCTTTTTTACTTCAAATAAAAAATACATATATAAAATTATAAAGCAACAACATCAACATAAATAAGTATAAAACTACACATAAAATAAAAACTAGAGCTGAAAATACCAACGCCCTAGTACAAAAGACCCTTTACCGCCACCTCCTCGGCCACCTTGTCCGCGACCCTTGCGGCTCCCAGTTCTACCTCCCCATCGAAAGTTGGGGAGGTCTTTGCCACCTTGTCGGGCCCAAACATTAAATGCTTTGAGCGTCTTCGGACCAGGATGCGTATTACGCCAAAGCAAGAACTGGTTAAATGAAAATCCTAAAAAATTAATACAAAACACTTTAAGTTTTTAAGCATATAAGTTTTTTTAAAACAAAATTTTAAATCAAATTTACCATTTGAATCCTTGATGCCATCATTGGGAGTACCTTAATCAAAGTAAACATTTCATACTAAACTAAGAATAACAACTACTAATATTTATTTAACAAAAATATCATTTTATAATTTAATTTACTTATAATTTCAGTCAATATTGTTAGGGAAGTGAAGTTCTTACAAAAGGCTCTGGGTTCAAACCACTAGTTATTACTGGTATTTGATGTCAGAAACTCCAAAAATGTTGAGAGATTTTATGGACTACATTTACAAAATAATGAGACTCGAAAGTCTTCAAACTTATTACTGAGAACATTTGTAACCGAAAAAAGTATAGCCTGTCATGATTGAAATAAAATTAAGTTTATCTGTTAGTCAATATATATACTCTATGTTTGTACTAACATCAGATATTAATTTTTAAACCTCCCGGTTTAAAATCCTCCCGGTTCATAGTTTAAAGTTTCAGTATTCTATATGTAACATTTACGTCTTTTACAAAACGTTTATATGCTACTAATTGATGTACTCTATTTTCATATAAAATTTTAGTTGTTTATAATGAACTTTTTGAGCGCACCAAAATAAAAAAATTGAATTTCTTTAAAAGAAATTTCCTTACCCCAAAGAAATCCTAAGTCAGATTTTTGACATCAATAACACAAAAAGCCAGAGTCCTTTCAGAAACTAAATATAGGTGATTAATACCATAACTTGATAAATGGATTTAATTTTTGTAACCATAGTAATTAATTTGTGTTTGAAATTATTAACAATTTGCTTACTTGTTGAACTAGAAAGGTTGTTGACTACTTCCTGAGCCGGAGGTGATGATATGACTGAAGAACCCTGATCAGTTGGTAAGCTTGATGCATCTGTATATATATATATATATACTATATATATATATATATATATATATATATATATATATATATATATATATATATATATATATATATATCTATAAATATATATGTATCTATATATATATATATATATCTATATATATTTATATATATATTTATATATATATATATATATATATATATATATATATATATATATATATATATATATATATATATATATATATATGTAGGTGCATAAATTGTCAGGCAACATATTTTTCGTAGAAAGATACACAATCATTTTTTTTATTATCCTTTTTATCAAAATATAAAGTGGATACTTAAAATGTGATAAGAACCCAAAAATGACGACCTTAACTATTTCTCTCTAAAAACCAAATAATTATATTATTAACAATACCTTTGTTTAATTCTGCTCTTAAAGCGGCTAATTCTGACAATATTAGTGCTAAACACAAATTTTTTAAAAAAAATTGATACCATATTCCAGATTGCAGTTAAAAACTAAACAAATTAAAAGTAATGAAACTTACCAAATCTCTGGTCTGATGCTAAAAAAAGTAAAGTTTTAACTTAAAATAAACTATCAAATGATAAAGATATGCATATAAATTTCTACTAAACATAAACTAAAAAGTTATAAACTACAATACTTTATTTAATCAACACTTACCATCGTTAGCAGATGTTTCCATTACTTTAAATATTAAAAAACTGTCTAATACTAAAATTGAACTATAAAATTCAACTTAAACAGATTTATAGAAAATCAATTTTGAATAAATCACTTGATTGAATTAATGTTTAAATAAAACTTTGACAATTTAAGCTTAACCTTTAAATTTCATTATAATTTATTATAACCTACATCTATTATTAATTTCATAACCTATAAAAGCTATAAATTTTATAACCTATATCTATGGTAAACAGATTATACAAAGAAATCAAAACTTTAAGCGCCATATTGCAATGCTAATGAAATCCTTAACTAATACAGCACTAAATCTAAAAACATCTTTTTGAAACGTGCTTTTGCATAAATTACTTTTTAATTTGAACAATTTATTAACTAAATGTTTACTCTTTGATCTTTATGCCTTTACTTTGTATATTTTAAATTTAAGTCAGTAAAAGAGAAATATCACCTAATATAATTACTTTTTTTTACTATAATCTACTATAATATTAACTAATTAACTTTAGCAAAACATTAAAAAAAATGTTCACCCAACAATATGGTTGCCCTGCCTAACAAGCATACTAAGAAACAAAAACAGCAAAAATATTTATACATGTTTAAACTATCATAAGCAATGATACAACTAAATAACTTTAATAAAACAAAAACTGTAAATAAAATCTTAAAAGTTTTATAAAAAATTAAAAACTAAAACTAAAAACTATATTAAACTTTTGTAATGCTAGTGTTTTAAACAAATTAAAAAGTATTATTTAAAATATAATATATGTGAAAATCCAAAAGTTGGAGTTAAATCTTCATCATCTGTGGTTTGGTCTAGTAGATTACAACTACTATTTGGACACGCATATTGGCTAAAAAAAGATTGAAATAATTTTAATTTGCATATACAAACGAACACGCAAATATTTATCCAGACATAAATATTTATTCTGTCATTTCCTTTACATTATATATATATATATACATATTTATTTATTGAAAATAAAACTAAAGTAAGTTTATAACTTTTTTTTATACAACACAATTTTGTAGAAGTAACACTGGTATAGTACCAGAAAAAATTTCTGGTCAAATCTGGATGATGTTTTTTTGTCGATCATTTTCTTTTTTTTTTTTTACTTAACCTGAAACTTAATTAGTGGTGGCTTACTGCTCCGCTAAGAGTGACTTTATTAAAATAAAATAAAAAATAGTGCAAAAAATTCATAGGACAAGTCTTTCAATGACAGTTTGCTACATTTCAATGGATTGGTCTGGATAATATTTTCTATTGATTGGTCTAGATGGTCTCAGATAATTATTGATTGAGTGCGCTATTAAAAGAAACATCCATAAAATGGCAATGCAACAAGCAGGATATGACACTTAATCAAAACGTTCTTGGAATTTTTGATTAGCGGGGTGCTTGTGGATTATATAGGTAAAAGCACTTGACTTCAAATTGTTAGTTTTTTTTAATATTCAAAACTACCAAAAAGATATGGTGCCATAAATATGGCCATGGTAGGCATCATTTATGAAAGCAAAATAAATACATAAATATATACTTGCATAAAGCTTAAGTAACTTTTTATTATAACAACAATTAAAAACTTGGTTTAAAATCTAATATAAAAATTAAACTATTAGTTTAAAATTTGTATAAACTTTTACTTTAAATGTGGATTTTGAGGATTTTTTGAGATTTGAGGATTTTTATTGACAGTTTATGCTTTTTGCTTTATTTTATTATTATTTTATTGTAATTTTCTCGTTGAACATTAAGTGTACTACAAATTGAAAGAGTATTTCTTAATATGGGACTCCCTAGAATTTCTCTAGAATATTTCTTAAAAAAAGTTATTTAACTTTTCATTATTTTATCTGCAAAATATTTTTTTTGATTTAAATTAGTCACTGTTAGACAAATATAAAAATTTTTGTTTGGAAAAAAAAGGACTAAAAAACTTCTTCACATCTTACTTAAATATCAAAGACTAGAGGACTATAAATACTGCTAAAGCAGATAATAATAAATACTTAATCCGATATTCGATACAATTTATTTTGTTAAAAAGTTTAAACTAGAAAAATAGAAATATGTATTTGTTAAACAAATATACAAACAATCCAAATTTTGTTTTAATATAAATATACAATTGAACTTATATATAAAGATAAAATTAAAAAAGGCTGTATCAAATAGTTGTAGCAACTTTCTGTCACTGACATGTTATATATACAAAAATATTATATATACAAAAATTCGAAAAACTTACTGCTAAAGAGTAAGGCGAAAATATAAAAGAAAAAAATTACTTAAAAAATGTTTGAAAGCGATGGAAGAGCTGTCTTCTTTTACTCTACTATCAAAAATATTTAAGAATTTGTAAAAAATGAATTGGTATATCAGCGATATTGAGCATTATCTAAAAAAGTTTAATTTAGATGATCCAAAAGTAGGTTTACAAAAATTTCGCATGCGCAATAGCGCAAATCAAAAACATTCTTGGTCTGTGTTTTCTTCAAAATCGCAAACCTACTTTTGGATCATCCAAAAGATAGCTAACCATTCCGGACATTTTATAAAAATAGTATAAATATGGATTGGATGTATGCTGAAATAAATATGTTGATACGCGTTAGCTACTTTAGTAAATCCATATATTCCTTTATTGTTTTTTTTTAGACAAGTTTCTGCTTGATAACTAATTAATAAAAAGGTTGGTTTAATAATGATCTTTATCATATTAATATAGGATCCGTATGCAGGGTAAGCCCTTTTCGGAATTTCGGCGATATATTTTTCAACTTATAGTTTTTCCGGATATCCGACTTCTATGCCTACAAGTTTGGGTAAAATATTTTTGGTGTTTTAAAAAATATTTAAAAAGTATAATTAAAAACGTTGAAAAGTTTAGCAGCGATAATCACATATTTTTAAGCTCTTCACTCAGTAAAATGAAAAGTTTTAAAAAACAAGAAACAACTCAGCTTAAAGCAAAATTAAGAGTAGAATATATTCCTTATATTTACCTTAACAATTTTACGGAATTTAAAAATTTGACATTGATGTTCTGTGCATATAATTCAAGTCATTTTTAACTACTGCATGGTTGCGATTTGCGAATTCAATGTCTGAACATTGCATAAGAGATGGTTAACTTTATCTTTAATGAAGCTAAGAGTTCTCCTTAAACTAAGAAGCCAAGAAAAATAAAAATGAGCTTAACTAAAAAAATGTATTAATAAATTTATATTTCATTAGAGAGAGTAAATAAAGACCAAATTGTTAGTAATGATATATTTACTACTAACCCGTATTACGGGTTGCTTTCAGTATAAATAAATTTATATTTTATTAGAGAAAGTAAGTAAATATCAAATTGTTGGTAATGATTTATTTATTACTAACCCGTATTACGGGTTGCTTACTGCTAGTTAGTTTATTAATAGGGAAAAGTTATCTAACTTCTGACACATTAGATTTTACGAATAAGCAATTTCCATAAACGAATAAGCAATTACAAATAAGCAATTTCCATAAATTTCCATAATAGCTCAAACTCAATTCAACAACGCGGAAGTATTTGGTCGGGTTTGATTCTAAAACTAAACCTTTTGATTATCAATGTGATTTTGTATATATCTATATGTTGAAAAATTTAATGTTCATACATTAATTTATCTTAACAACATATTTATAATACATATAAATAAAGTAAATAAAGATCACTTTTACAAAAAAAATTGTTCGCTTTATATAGCATATAGTACAACTTGTGACTCTTCTCGACAAATAATAATAAACGTTATAATAATAGAAAATCACAACTTGTGACTTTTGTCAATATTTAGCACGCTAATTATTAATGACACACAACATCCCTGGATCATCTTTAGCTCAACAAGAGCTCATACTTAATCGTTGTACTTCCGATTAGGAAGTACTCCCCCTCCAATGCGAGTGAATTGAACAGGCTGTGACTGTTTCACCATCTGTTGAATAGTTTTTATCGCTGCCGGTACTATTGTCATTTTTACCATTATCCGGAGGAATTATTTGAAGATTTGGATCATCATTGACAATGTGTTTTGAGCTCGTTTCGGGAAGTTTAAATAGTGTTGAATCATAATCATCTGTTGTATTTTCTTCCTTTGTGTCTACACGACGATGTTGCAGATGAGAAAAATGTCGTGGTAACGTATGTCCGTTGACATCGACTTCAGCTGTTAAATCATAATGCAATGCCACTATACTTCCTTTCAGCCATCGTTGCGTACACGGCGTTACGTGCTTGGGTTTCACCCACACTTTGTCGCCAACTTTCCATTCACGACACTCTGTCTTCGACTTTTGTGTTGATTCGATTTTATCGATTCCAGGAATTCAAACTCGTTTGTGATGTTGGCAAAATATTTCAAAAGGTGTGCCGTGTTTTGATGGAACGTTATTGATTAAAATACAGACATGGGAATATCACATAATAAGAATATATCCCTCTTTGTTAGCACAGATTTAATAATAGGAAGCTCGCATCCTCTCTTCCAAAACATCTCCTTTGTTAATGGATTTACTGTGACTTCTAATCCTAGTGCACGAACTGGGTTTTCGCCAAAATATTCAGGTGCTTTTGCATGAAAACCCTATTTCTTCATATGTATCACCAGCTTTCTTCCATTTCCATTGGTTGCGAGGGTGTCATCAATGTATCCTCTTGTTGTTTTTGCCAGTGCAAAATCTTGTTGGAGAACATACCGCAATATTGAGCTCATCATCACTGATGCCAAACTGTAATCAAAGCCCAAACGTGTAAGTGCATACCGCTGATTTTTATAGATGACCGTCTGGTAAGGCCAATGCCTTCTATGCACATGAATTTGTAAATATGCTCTTCTCAGATCCACTACCGAGTCATTGCTGTTTTTACTCATGAGTCTCCACTCCCTTATTGCATCATTGATGACATCAGCATCCCTTGTAGAGGCTTTTACATACGTGTTAAGTTCACGATAATCAAGCACAGGTCTTATCTTCTTTTTATTATCTTGAATGACACACATTAACCGCAGTGTCACGAAATGGCCATCAACCTTAACCTCATGTCCCGAGAAAACGCTTTGGTGGACTGATAGCCCACATATAATAGATCACTTAGATATAAATTTGGAAATCGAACTATGACGTCCGAAAGAGATATTTTAGTTTTTATTTTCTTCAATTCTGGCTTATCAAAATTTAAATGAGATGATAGGAATTTGGCATTTTTACAGCATATTTAACAAAGCTAAAACTCATGAAGAAAACCGAAAATGTGTTTGTTTCCTATGTTTGAAAAAGGCAAATCAAGAAATCACAAGTTTTTTAGTGGAGAAAATTCGCACAGTCCTCAAAATTGAGCTTGATTTTTCAAACTTTCAAATCCCTTGTGGAATTTGTGAAAAATGTCGTGTGGCTATTCGCAGACGAAAAGAAGGGGTGAATGCATCTATCCCAAGGCTCTTTGATTTCAGCACCATCTCAGTTCAGCGTGCTGCAACAAATATTCCTTGTAATTGTTTGATTTGTCAAACTGCAAGGACAAATATGAATCAGCGTCATCCTTTGGAACCACCGAAACTCAAAGAAAATTCAAGCATTGAAAAAAGGTGCTCTGATTGCTACTCTGTTTGGTCGTGGATTGCCTCACAATTGCACAACAGGAACATTAAGGCAAAATTTAGTGGAAGTTGCTTCAAGGGATCGCATTGCGGCAGAAAGGGTAGCATCATTAACAATTGCTAATAAAACTCCATCACCTCATGGTACTGTTCGGTTAAGTCAACCACTTGGAGGAAATCGTTTTCCCGTTGTTCCAGGTAAAGCAATATAGATTTAAGCATAAACCACTTATAAATTTCTTTTAAAATGGATATGTAGAAAATTTTAACCTCGGCCATTAAGATGTTCTTTAGAACCATCAAGTGCAAGAGAATTGTTTCCTGCTGTGCCCAAGCTGACGGCCCAAGACATGGTTGGAGTCCAAATTGGAACTAGATTGTCAAATCGTGGGATGTCCAAATTGGCATCATCTTTGAACCAAGCTACACCTCTCCGGGTTGTAGAAAAAAATTTCAGAGAAAAATTCGACAGTTTCGGGAAATCTCTTTCTGAGCATTTTGAGACCGAGGCCATACGAGATTTTACAAAGAATGATGACCAGCAGCCTTCACGACTACTTGTTTTTTGCCCAGATGTAGGAAGTCTTGCCAATCACGTTATCAAAGTAAGGAATGTTTCAGGAGATCCGCTGATGAAGATTAGCATCGATGGAGGTGGTGGGTTTTTGAAAGTATCTCTTGGAATCATTGCCGCAAACACAGATTCGAATTCTCCACCACCAAAACGAGGGCTTAAAGACACAGGAGTCAAACGGCAACTTCTGGTGGCAATTTCAGAAGATCTGCCAGAGAGTTATGACAACTTGAAAAGCATAATTTCTTCTCTTCAACTTCACAAACTTTCCTACATAATCTCTTGTGACATGAAAGTCGCCAATCTTGTTTGTGGTCTTCATTCCCATGCAAGTGCACATCTTTGTTCATGGTGTGATGCAGAATCAAAAGATTTGAGTCGCTCTGAAAGTCTCAGAACACTTGGTTCAATTCGAGAAAACTTTCTGCAGTTTCAAAGCAGTGGTGCCAATGCAAGGAGAGCAAATGACTTCAAAAACGTCATCCATGAACCCATAATGACTCTGCCAGATGACACACTGATTTTGGACATCATTCCTCACATGGAACTTCATCTGCTTCTTGGAGTCGTTAACCATCTCTGCAAAAGTTTATGCCAGATTTGACCCGCAGCAAA